ATATCAAAAAAGTACTCCAGAGTGTTGTTCAGCATGGGGGTGAGTAGAAAATGAAGGCTAATCATGTTTTGGGTGTACTATTCCTTTAACAAATATAGAATATTTCTGGTAGTTTGTTGGCCAAGAACCCATTAAAATGCATTATAGTTTGTGGTCATAACGTCATAACATGTGAAAAGGTTCAATGTGCAAGAAAACGTTTGTAAATGTCTATACTAATATGGATTATGGCCACTAAAGGTATGTCTGTCATTGGCTTCTCAGGCCGTCTGCTATTTAGATGAGTATAATGAGATGCTGGACTTCATCGTGAGGTGGTCAGAGAAGGCTAAAAGCCTGGTGAGAGCAAACATCATCTGGAACAGCTCCGTTCACCTGCAGGAGCAAATACGGATGTATCAGGTTAGCATAGCGACTGTGACGTTACACGGACGCGTTGCTTCAATCTTTTACACACACTCGTAGAGTAAGGAAAGATTGACTGATTTTGTTGTTCCCTTCCTAAGGCTGTCTTCCGTGAGTCTAGAGAGCTCCACAGCGACCTGGAGTCTATGGCAGAGAAAGTGGACCTTCTGTCTGAGGTGCTGCAGGTGGAGTCCATGAGCCAGGAGGTCTGTGAACTCAGCAGACACACAGATGAGCTTCAACAAAGCATAAAGACTCGACTGCAGAGCCTCCAAGATGCACACAAGGTAGAATGCATACATGCAGATGTTTTATTTCGATGAGGAGAACGATATACTTAGTTGTGTCTTTTTAGAGCATGGAAGCACTGGAGTTTGAAGTCAAGGCCCTACACGTTGCTCTGGAGCAGGTCCAAGCCACGTTGACGTCACCAGAGTTAGCACGACAGAGCCTCAAAGAACAACTCACTCAAAGACAGGTAAACGTTCAGGGGTTTTACGTTTCACTGTGTTGTTTCTGCTGCTCTGATGAAGCCCTTTAAATAACCGGTGCAACCTTTTTGAACGGATCAAAAGAATATGAATTTTATTTGGCTTTGCAGCGTTTACTAGCTGATATGGAGAGCTTCAAGCAGCAGGTGCAGGCAGTACAGCTGTGCCAGAGTGCCCTCCTGGTCCCGGAGGAGGTCATGCCCAACCTCGCCATCTGTCGCACGGCTCTTCGTCTGCAGCAAGAAGCAAGTCATTTGCAGCATGTGGCGATACAACAGTGCAACATACTACAGGTGCAGCTGAGGGTTCGGCTTTTTAATGGACTGTGATTGGAAGCTTTTACCAAAAAGTATGATGTGTCTTTCTATGCAGGAGGCAGTGGTTCAATATGAGCAATATGAACAAGAGGTGAGAGATTTGCAGGGACTGATAGAGGAAGCACATCGGGTCATTCAGGAGCGACCCATCCCCTCTAGTAACATTCAGGAGCTGCAAGCCCAGATTTTGCACCATGAGGTGAAACATCATTCCTTTTATATTTAACATGTTAGGATTATATCTAAAGCAAATGTGCTCACTTTAAACGATCTTTTATTTTTTTTTGCATAGGAACTTGCTCAGAGGATTAAAGGCTATCAGGAGCAAATTGCTTCACTGAATTCAAAGTGCAAAATGTTGGCAGTGAAGGCCAAGCATGCCACCATGCTGCTAACTGTCAGTGATGTAGAAGGACTTCCTGAGGGGCTGGAGGAAATGGATGAAGAAAAGACCAGGAAATCTGTCATTGTAAGAGAACGTTATCCTCCATAATCCTTTTGAATGCTTTGCACCCATAATATTTTGACCTGCATACTGAAGGTATATAGCC